TATATATATATATATTAGAGTTAGAATCGATACGCTGTTGGAATTTAAGAATTTAATATATAGTTTTAAAAATAGGCTGATGTAAAAATTCACTTAGATTTGACTGCAAACAAAGACAACTGCTCCTTTATTATCCCGTATTCAATTCCAAGACAAAATAGAGTCTTAAAAAACGTGTATAAATTAACAGGTGGTTATAAAATGTAACAGATGGTATCGTTTGTGATTGAGTTCATAATTTCCTAATGAATCGGCGGAAAAGCTTTATTTATCTTTCTTTATTCAGAAAAAGATAACAACATTAGGTTCTAAAAGGATTTTATCCCACGAACAAATAGGAGATAATAAGTATTATCTCGTGTGAAATTTCTGAAAATTCTAGAGATTAAGAGGTAATTTTGCTCTGTTCTAAAAGTATTTTAACAAAGCAATTGTGATTAGTAAATTGAGATTATTGTTACCAAAGTTTAAGTATATAGGTATACTTTATATTAAAATTATCTGCAAAAATATGTTGAATTTAGTTTTGAAAGCGTGATTGATTTACAAACTACACATAAAGAGTTTATTGCATTTTATTTTATACAAAAAAATAAATTTAAAACGGAAATTAGGAAAGGGAACAACATAAAGGAATCATTTATTAAAATATTTAAATCATTATTTTTGTTTTTTAATTTTTTTTTGATAGAATTAAATGTATTAAGATTCTTCAGGATAATTAGTTATTTTATAATAATAATTTGTAGGTTTTGTGAAATTAAAAAATCAATTTAACATGCTTCTAGTAGAACACGTGAATAATAAAGTTTACTTTACTTAAAGACAATAGTTCCAAAATATTTTAGAGGTTTAAGTTATGGCTATTTACTCAACGTTGCAATAGCCAATTTAAAAATTATTTCAAAACCTATATATTTTTTAAGTATCGTGTCAATTCACTGTGAGACAATTCATTGCTCACAATTCGTCTGAGCTACAGTTCGTTGTGGGCTCAATTCATCGAGGCTATTCATCGTAGCCACAATTCGTGCGAGAACATTTCGTCGTGGGTACAACGCGTCGCAGCGACAGTTCATCGTGGTCACAATTCATCGAGGTGACAATTCGTTGACTGCATAATTCGTTGCACCGACAATTCATCGCGGATACAATTAGTTGTTGGCACCATTCATCGCATATATCATTTATATAGAGTGCAGTTGGTCTGTAGCTATTAATATAAATGTTCCAATAGACTTCTGTAAAGTGCACTTGCATCAGCCAACTGGTCGGCCGAAGATTCATAGAGGTTAAATTTCCGCAACATATGGCATAATAGTGGTAAAGTGGTCAGCATTGCTCACCGTCCTCTTTTACTGCCAGGAAAAGCTGGTGTGCATCGATCTCTGAAAAATATGACAAGTTCTTAAAAAAAACCCGATTATAAGTGAAAGAGGATGTTTCATAATATTCATTGATATGTTTTATTGATGAAATTTTTGTATATTTTAAAATTCTATAATTTTGCATATTGCAAAAATTTCTTTATAATTTAAAGCTGATTTTCTTAACTATCACTTAACTTGCTCTTACACTTGAAAGAAAAACATCCGTCATCCAAATCGTAGACAATGTATTTTCATTACTTAAAAAGAAATTGTAATCTCAAATTTTCAATTACTCTGGTAGAAAAACGCAAGAAGTTTTAATGAAATTAAGTGAATTACTTAAACAAATCCAATCTTAAAGAAATATATGTTTAAAATAAGCCTAATTCTTTCAATTCAATCTAATTATTGTTATTATTTAATCTAAGAAAACTTGTTTAATTTCAAGAATTCATTTTTATTTTCAGTTTAGTATTATTATTACAAATCTAAGATCCCGTTATTATTTAATCTAAAAAACTTGTTTAATTTCAAGAATTCATTTTTATTTTCCGTTTAGTACCGGGTGATGGCGGTAGTCAGCTGGAGGCGAAATTGGATAAACCAAAAACAGTTCACATGTTTTGCGATCAGAAGACGGAGGGTTATTTCAGCTTATGGCTAAATCCAGGGCTTTTGTTTCCCGGTGCAGTCGATTGTTGGGTGGACAACATGAGGTAAATTTTGAAGATTTTATTTTTCACAAAATAGGTTTTACTTGAAAAAATATTTCGTTTGCTTATTTATTATTTAATAGCAAAAATATTTAGCCATAACATTGGCTAAATATGGAGGAAAGAGGAGATGCCATCATACAGTGAACCTAACCAATGAACTACGAAGTACATAAGTCAAGTAAATTGCACGAACCGACGGCAGCTAGTTATAATATATCGTCAACTAGAGTTGTTAGTCTGTATAATTTTGAACTTCTAGTAATAATTTCGTTTACTTTTCTATCACTTGGAGAGAAAAACATGATTTCTAGACTTGGTTCTGAGATTATGGAATCAATACATGGTTTTAAAATAAATTACAATGAAAATTGAAACAGTTAACTAATTAAAATTTATTAATTACTTTTTTTACACTGTAATATTTTTTATTTTTATTATTTATCAATTCTATTTTGAAGCTGAGAATTTAGAAAATTAAAAATAATATATAAGTGCTTATAATATATCTAGATATAAGTTTACATATTTATTTAGGAAAATAAGGATGATATAAATCCATATTAAAAATATATTATAATAGCAGGTTATCACACTGCAAATAAAGAACAGCCTTTATGTTTGAGAGAGCCTTCAAAGGCTAATAAGTAATTTCTTTTGCCACTAATTTTTTTTAAACATATAAACTGAGTAGAGCTATCCCGGTGAGAAAAAAGACCTCAATTGAGGGTACAACGCTTCCGCTCTGCTAATATTATCAAATTGTCGTTTTGTCTTTAAATAAAAAAACTTCACTTCAAAAAAACGAAAATAAGAAAAGAAAAAAAACGTAGGAATAAAATTTTTTTTTGTCCAGAATGGACAAACAGCAGAAAATAGAGAAAAAGTTAAATACAAAGAAAATATGATGGAAATGGAGGATTTGAATGATATAGGAAATTAATGAAGATAAAAAAAATAAGTACACAGATTAATTTACTGAGTTTTTCCATATACTACATATAATTGCTGTTTTGATTGTTTGAGTTTCTTTAAGAGATCAGCTGTAAATCCTTTTGGTTTTATTTAATTAAGTTTTAAATAAGATTCTAAAAAAAAATTGGGGTAAACAATGTTAATAATTTCATTAATTATTATTTATTTTGCAATGAGGTATTCACTATTAAAATTTCAGGCTATATTACAACAAGACCACAAGATTAACTCAAAACTCTCCCGGTGTGCATATTAGAGTTCCAGGGTTTGGTGATACAAGTAGCGTAGAATGGTTGGATCCGAGTGCTACAATGCCACCATGTAAGTAAAATTTGCTTTATGATTTGTAAAGAAGCTTTCTGCATTTATACCTTTTTTAAAATGTACCGTCTACCAGTGCTACAATGCCACCATGTAAGTAAAATTTTCTTTATGATTTGTAAAGAAACTTTCTGCATTTATACCGTTTTTAAAATGTGTAGTCTAACATTATTAGAGTACAGGAATAGAAGAAACACGAGAGATTCGAACAACCGTATATTTTTCATATTTAAACATTTATTTTTAGCTGAAGAGCACCAGATTGCAGCATGGTATAAAGTAGCATTTCTCGTTGATTTTATACTTCATGCATTTGCAAGTAAAATCAAAGGGAAATCTCATATAATATCATTATAAAATTCGACTTTATAAATTTTGTTTTCTGTTAAAATCGTTGAATGTTTTTCGCCAAGGAGATTATTTAGCAAAGTTAATTCCTAATGCTAATTTACATTTTCAAATACTTTTATCACGTTTATTATTACACTCTATAACAAAAAAAATCGACGCACCAAGAAGGAGTTGTCCGATTGAAACGAAAATTGGTGGATAGGAAGACAATGTACAGAATAGTAAATGATTAGAATTTCAGATCAATTGAATAATTTATTGCAGAGTTACAGTAACAAGTTCAATAAGGTGTTGTCCCGCNTATTATTGTATCTGCATATGTTGAATGAACAGAATTTCTCATGAAATTCATTATCAAAATAAATATAACTCTCTATTACCTTTAATGAGTGTAAAATGTAACTAAATAGATTTATCATAAAATGTTGCGAAGCACGGTATTATCATAGGATTACTTTAAAATATAATAATTTTTAGTTTAACCCTAAATTTTGCGAATAATAATTAAAATTAAAACTTAGTAATAGAGAATAATATTAAAAAGGGATATTATATATATATATATATTTAAGATAAATATTATTAAATGAAGGATAAAAAATTTACAGGTAAAATCCTCTACAAATCTTATTAATTTTATGCTGATCATAAGATATTTGAATCTTCTTTGTTTATTAACATCTTTAGCAAGTGTTTTTTTCTATTCAATGAGCATGCCATGAAATAGCAAGATGACAATTATCTTATTCTCATGATTTATGGATAAATAATATCATCGTGTTACAAAAAAATGAACCTTATGTTTTCTTGCCTTATAGGAGAGAGGAAGCTAACTTGGACAGTTTTCAATAAATTTACCAAAAAGCTCACTGATCTTTATTTTAAACATATCTAGTATTTTTTCCATTAAAATTTGAACTTATTTGGCTTATCTGGATGCATAGTTTTGAAATAATCTTATTATTAAAAAAAGTTGTTTTTTGTCCCCACTAAAAACACTAAAACATGTCATGGGACTAGTTTGGATGGACACGTGCTAATTCATTTTATTATTACTTATAAAAAAATCAAGTAAAACTAAAATGGAACTAATTTATGTCTAAAAATGCTGTCGTGAATTATTAATCATAAAAATCCTTATAATAATTAATGTCAAAGCCTAATAAATACATAAATCAAAACTTTTCCAGTTTTAACGAGAGATTTTTCTTTAATATTTAAAACAGTAGCAAATGTTACACTTTGCTGCTTCATTTTCGTTATAATAAAGTTGATTTTGTTTTATAACCGTCGTTGAACAACCGACCCAATTTTGAATTTACGACTACTAACTTTTAACTTAGAAGCCATGTAATTTTGAACCCAATCCAGAAGACAAGAAAACTTCTGGATCAAATATTGGGAGAAATTTGCCTCCGAATCGGACTTTTTTGATGCAACTAACTCGCATTTGCGTTACATGGCAATGAAAACCACGAAATTTTCCCACAGTTAGTCTGACAGCAAAGGGATTCTAATTCATGATCCGTCTACCATAGAGGATACTTTTCATCTGTTCTGTGGTCGGTGTGAGCCGGGTGCGAAATTCGTATCGACCAGCCATAACTGGGTTTCGAGCCCGGTTCACTTCACTCGGAGGTGAGTGCTCTATCTCTCGGCTAACAATTTGGCCACCACAATGTATAGACAATTGAAACACCTATATAAGATCTGATAACTGTGCTGGGAAGATTTTAAATAATGGCAAAATTGAAGAAACTTTTCTAACCTTAATTGTTATTATACTAGCTCTTTAAAAATTATAGGAATCTACAACTTTCGACTCGGTAAATATATAAATATAGTATCAGGGTTCTAGAAGAACTTGAAAGTGATAGCGAAAATATGACTAAATTTGATCATTTAATAAATTTGTGACCATTACTATATTTTTTAAAAAGAAATTATACATCTATGACGCCCTACCAACCACCTCTGCCGTAAATGGCCTCAGGTGCCTAAGTAAATTTCGAGGAGGATGACCAGCCACCTCTAACCCTTAAATTGGTTTCTGGAGAAAAAAAATTATCATAAATATACTACCACTAAGAAACTCTGCTAATACTGATATGTCCACTGGCTAAATAAAAAAAAAGGCAAATCAAATGTGACTATTAAAATGAGTAATAAACATATTCACTCGTAGCATAGGATCACTTATTGTTAAAGTAGATGAATAAAAATTATCTAAAGGGGCAAATAAGTAAAAAATTGAAAATCACTTTTCCATAATAAAAACTTTTTATTTATTTATTTATTTTTTGAGTTATTTAGCAATTTAGTGTTTCATCTTGTTACTACTTATGAAAGTGCAACACAGTTTTGTAATTCCATCAGAATTAACTGGGAATTTTTGAGTCATAATTAACAGAAATATTCCATTTGTCTATTTCCGGCCTCATGTCCACACTAGCCCCCCATTACCCTGCTCAGAAACATAAAATTTTAATTTTTTCACTGTGAACATAGTTTATACTTGCTGATCTTTAAAATTCATTATTTATTTATTTTATTTATTACATTTAATTATTTATTTATTTTATTTTATTTCTTACTGTCAAAGAAGTATTACAGATTTAAGGAATTATGTCCGATAAGTTAAGTCAACATTCAGATTCTTGGTATTGAATTTTCCTTCTTTGTAATCAAAAACCCCTATGTTATTTAGTATTTTTTGTACGTCATGATGACCAACAATATTGCATTGAGAGTGGTGACTTTATGCCATTTTTTGTTAATATCTTGATCAATAATCAGGGTAGTAACCATGACTGTAGTACGAAATGATCTGGACAATGTTTGTGCTGATGTCACAATACCAGTGGAGGAGGTTAATATAATTAAAATTTTGACAAACTCTATTCTAGGAGGATGATTATGCGAGTTTTTTTTAAGGTCAAAGAAGGGTAATATTTTGACATCGTCGAATTGTCTGATATTGTCCGGCACCAGAGAAAACAAATAATAAAAATTCCACTGCCAAATAAAATTTCAAATAAATTGTTCTCCATTAAAGTTTAAGTATAATATATCAATGCAATTAATAATAACAAAGGAGTTATTATTAATAATAGAATTCTTATTATTATTAATTATAATAATAGCAATAATAATTATAATAGCAATAATAATTATAACAGCAATAATAATTATAATAAGAGAATTACTCATATAAATATAAAATAATTGAAAGTTTTTTTACTGTTTTTTTATTTTCCTCTAAAAATTAAAAAGGAAATAATCATTAGATTTTGAAATTCGTTAACGGCATTTTAAAAATTTTGTGTCTATATTAGACTTTGGAGATTTAGTATGAGCTAGAATAGTGTTTTAATAGATTTCAAGGGGATAAATTAAGTTGTCCAAAAGGTGACTAACTAAGGTGGTTACTTTGTATTACGGATTTTCTTTTTAAAATTTTTCTCATGATTTAGAAAAAAAGCTTTACTTATCATATTGACAAGAAGAGTTGTGCAAAGACATTTAGTAAAATATTTAGAGATTAAACAAGCTATACATATAATAAATTTTTTTTTTAAAAAAACTCAGAACGTGTTTTGAACTAATCCCATTTTAAGGGTAACTAAGCAAAGTACAAAATTTAAGTATTATTTTCTTTCCTTTATGTTTATAAATAAATTTATTTCTATTTACTTACTCTTTAAAATTTTTTTACAGTTATCGCCCGTTTTATTCTGAGTGCTTATTTTGTTGACATAGCCGACATGCTTGTTAAAGAGGGATATACAAGAGGAAAGAATATCAGAGGAGCACCGTATGATTTCAGGAAAGCTCCAAGTAATATATAGATATTGAATAAAAATATATCTTGCTTTTATTACATTTGTAATAAAAGTGCGTGATGTGTTAAAAAGTTATTCATAACTTAAAAATATCAATGACATTTTAAATTCTTAACTGTACAAATGTTTCAAAAAAGTAAATTATGCTAAGTATATCCATCACATCTCAATCAAATTTAATATAGATCAAATGGTCACAGTTTATTCTTGGCAAGTGTTCAGAGTATCATTTGTTATATTCTTTTTAAAAATGAATTTGTTAGCCATTACTTTGATTTCAAACCAAAGAATTACATCGCGTATTTATATTTGCTTTGGATTATTTACTTGCTTAAAAGTTGAAACAATGCTATTTCTTATAATTGATTGTACTGAAAACACCTGCTAACGTAGCGAAAATTTACAAATTTGCTTATTGCTTAGTGCAATTTCCTTGTATAATTTATAACTTTAACTGTTTCTTTTCATTTACAATTCGTCGCACACTCGTATCTTCAAGAAAAAAGACATTCTCCCCTAGACTGTAAAAATTCCGGATCAGATTACGGTATAAAGTACCGGCATTTTGAGTGTATCATTAGTAAAATCTATTTTACCATTAAATCCATTTCGACCGTAAATTTTACAATAATATTCATTTCGTTAAGGTTATTCAGTAATTTTACGGTATAAGTTATTACTCTAAAAATGGCAGTGTATCAGATTTTTTGTTGCGTAATATGTTCTGGTAAAAAAGATTTCACGGTAAAAAATACCGGCACCCTAAGGTCAGGTTATTTTTACTGTCATTTGACCTGGAACTAGTTGTCTTTGGTTGTAGTTGAATTAAAATATAATATGAACTTCTTGCGTGTCATCCAAGTACGTGACACGTGACAGCTAATTGCACGTTTGCCGCAGATTCGCCATCTCTGATCGGCAACGGCATTGCATACCCTATTTTACTATTGACCTGTAGAAACATTAAAATTTAATTATAGATGAATTGCAGAGCTACTTCGATTCCGTGAAACATCTAGTTGAAGAAACTTATGAAAACAACGCTGAAGCGAAAGTAACACTGATTTGCCACAGCATGGGTTGTCCTATAACTAATTATTTCTTGAATCAGCAAAGTCAACCTTGGAAAGATAAATACATCAAAACATTGATATCACTTGCAGGAGCTTGGGGTGGTGCTGTCAAAGCCCTGAAAACAATTGCATCAGGTAATGTAACTCTAATTGCTAGCAAATGTAATTATCAGTAATAAAATGTTGGGAAATGTTCTATAGTAACGATTTCCAATTTTTTTTTTGTTCGGCTATGGAACACTAAATAATTGATCCTTTTTTTTACGGTTCCCCTATTGGATAAAGTTCATTAGTTATTAAAAACTTGTTAACCAAATAAAGAATGAATAATTTCGGAAATGTTAAATGGGAAGAATGAATTTTCTTAGTATAACTGATTTGACTATATTTTATCAATAATAGTATAGTGTGACATTTCGAAACCCCCGTGGCGTTTCAATGGAACCCTAGGGTTCTGTGGCACACTTTTTTGGAACGGTTGTTCTATAGCATCGCTGCTGATAACTTAACACATTTTATCAAATTTCAAAAATTTTTTTTTTGGATTTATCAAAAGGAGAGAAAATAAAATAAAAATGAGTTGAAACTTCTTTAACTAAAAAGGTTGCTAAAAAATTCCATGCCTATACTGCTATAATAGATATGTTTTTTGTTAACATTCATAGTATTTTGCGACACTTTATACATTTTTAGAAAAATCAGTGAAACCTATAATATTAATTATCATGTAATTATCGAATCATATTATGATGTAAGTTTTTACGGCCGTTTTAAGGTGTTAAATTGAAACAGGATTCTACTCAGATTTTACAGTACTGTACAGTACATATACATATAAATTTACAGTATTGTAATCATGTTTATATGTACATATAAAGGTTAAAAGGATTAACTTATAGGGATTTTGATCAAATTGAATACCTTCTTCGAGTAATGACAAATTTGTTCAACAACATAAATCAGAATAAAATAAGCAGTTAAAGCACTGTAGTAATTTTACATTTCAAGTTCAAGTACTTTTTATAACCGTTAATATCATTAACTCCAATAATTCTGCTGACTCATCGATTGGTTTGCTGCTTTCCATTACTTTTTTTACAATTATTATAGGTTTATAGGTCTATTTTAGTTTAGGCAGAGGTAATCTTTGCACTTTATTGCTAATGAATGAAAAAAAAGGAAGGTGCGAAACGAATCAATGAATTAAAGAATTCGAGTATTTATGATGAGTGAATGGGTGAATAAGAAAATCAGCCTATAAGTGAACAGATGAATTAACTTATAAGTAAACAAGAGATTATTTATTTTTATACTTCAGTGATACTGCAATCAGTAGCTACGATTGTCTTTTCCATCACTGTATTAAATGTAGAGAAATATCTCCCTATTTCTTATCGCAATAGAGGTATTTTTAAACCACACTTGGAAAATGTTTTACTTCATTTTTTTGATTACTATGAGTTATATGGAAATGTACATATTTCAAATCATGTATAATAAAGTTAAATTTTAACAGGAGAAAACCTCGGAATTATTGTTGTAAGTCAAAGCGCTCTGAGGACTGAACAACGGACAAGTCCGAGTCTAGCATACATGTTGCCAACTAGTAAATTGTGGTCAAAAAAAGATCCAATTGTGATAACAAGAGAAAGAAATTATACCGTAGAAGATTACTATGATTTCTTTCGAGATATTGACTATCTAACTGCCTATGAGATGTTTAAAGACAATTATGAGAACGCGATGAAGAGTTTAGAAGCTCCAGGAGTTGATGTACATTGTATTCATGGGACAAATTTAGAAACACCTGAGAAGTATGTTAATTTTCTTAAAGTTTCATCTATTTAGCAAATACCATAAAAAGTTAGCATAAAATAGTTAATTTTCTGAGAAGTAATATTTTTAAAATATTTGCACGTATCGTGATATTCCATTCAAAATATAAAATGTCCCAATTCTGCCAGCAATTTTTTTCTGTAATTTTAGAACAGTATTTTCCTTATTATTCGTTTTTTTAATTAAAAAAAAATACGCATTGAGTGTATTTAAATACCATCATTGAATAATATTTTAAATTCATTTTCAATTGTTTGTGTTTTGAAAGATTTTTTTTGCAAGGCTTATACTTATTGAAAAGATTTTTTTCAAAGTTTATACAGGGTTATTCATAATTCCCTCCGGGGTTTCGAAGCGTTATAGTAAAAAAAAGAAGACGAATATGAAAAAAAGAAACATATGAAATTATTCCGGAACTATTCAAGTTTTACTTACATACATTACAGGTGTTCTATGTGTGAACCCTTGGTCACACGGTATTATACATCAATGCGATAGTCCAGTTCCTGTCCGGAGGGAATTATGAATAACCCTGTACTTAAGAAGCAACTAAATAAATATGATAAAAACCTAATATAAATTTCAAATCATACCTTAAAATTTCAATCATTGTGCTTTAAATTTCATGAAATTATGAAGTTTTAAAATATTTGAATTTGGAACATTGTAGTTCTTTTTTATGCTTTCAGACTAGATTACAGAAACTCTGATACGGTACCTGACGATCCTCCAGATATAATTAACGGAAAAGGCGATGGCACTGTAAATGCGGCGAGTCTTTCAGCTTGCTTACAGTGGGATTATCAGCAAAAAAAGCACGTTTATTACTTACCTATTCCTGGAATGGAGCATATGAAAATATTGCATGATAAAGGGGTAATAGAATACATTAGAAGAGTTGTCACTCTTTGGTGATTTATTTTGTACAGATAAATATTGTTCATTATCCTTTTGCTAGCGGCTGGTACAATATGTCGAGCATAATCATCTTAAGCACCGCAAGCAGAAGGTTAATGTTATTATTTGATAAAAAAAACTTATATCAGGTGATTGCAAAAATTAATGCCAGATTTAAAACCCAAATAAAAAAAAAAGAATTTCCATAAAAATAGTACTTACTTATCAATTTTTTTTCATTATATTTATATCTATCTTTCTATTCTATAATGTTTTTAATATCTGTTTCGTATAGAAATTGCACTGTATCTGCTTAAAAAAAGTGTTTTGAATGGTTTTTCCCCAACATCAAATTTATTTACTAATAATTCAATTTTGTTGAGATTGTGGGGAAATCTGGACTGACAAGGAATTATTTGAATTTTTTTCCTCTGATGCCCAAACTTATTGCAGTATCTTTTGAGTAACATGTGGTGAAAAAAGATTTTTGTATAAAACATTTTGCTTAAACTTTATACATTAAGTCAAATCAGTTACTCACAGTACTTAGTCAAAGTTATATCTTCTGCAATCTCACAAGTTTAACAGAAATGTCTTAATTTATATTTTAAGAAATTTAGTTTTGGTATGAGTTTTTGTAATCAGCGAATATAAGCTGTATTTCCTTTTCGTTTAGGACATTGCATACAAACTGTTTTATTAATTTATATTTAAATATTGTAAATTGTGTAAATAGAGAATTTATGGAATTTGAGTATTTTTTTCCAAAAAAAGTTAAACAAAATTTCTTTTATGTGCAATTAATTTTTTAAGATAATACTTTACGGTAAACAATGTTATACACATATTTGGAATTATAACAGTGAAAATATATAAAAAGTTTTCGATAATATGTATAAATATGATGACAAATATTTTATCAAAAATAACTTATGGCAGATAAAATAAAACTATGTGATGATGATTAAAATACAAGTCTTCTGAGAAAAAAGAAACTGATTTTATAGTTTTTTTTTATTGCCATCTTTATAATGTACATAAATATTTTTATTTTTCTGGCCTTGGACAATACGTGCAATGTTTGTAAATAAGTCAAAGAATATTTTAATGATTTAATTAATGTAAAACATTTATTTTCTGTATAATTTTGAAAATGTGCATATGAATATAAATTTTTTCAAATAAAATGTTTTTTCAAATTTGTAATTAACATTACTAGTATGAATATAAATTTGTAATGTCTGCTGTACTTTTTGTATGATTAAATGCATCTATTTTTTACTGAAGAAACATTGTATCATTGATCATTAAAATGTTATTCATTATTGCTACAATATTACTATTAATATTATTGTTATTATGAAAATTAATTTTCAATAAAAAAATATTATTTGGTACACACTTTTTATAATATTGTGCTAATTTTTTTTTAATGTGTGACTATAATAACGTCAAGTTTAAAATATTACCATAACAGTTTTTAATTGATTGTTCCATAAATATTCGCTTCAGAGGTATATGTTTAAAGCAATACATGTATTGCATTATAGGAAAAAATACTACAAGAAAAATGTTAAACTATTTCGCAATCAATTAATTTTTAAATTTCTATTGCTGTTCTAAAAACTATCGTATTTATTAAGAGTTGTATACGAATAGTATTATAATTAATAAATAGTGAAAATATCTTTATTTATCACGAAATTTTGAAGTAAAATATGCATATCTCGCAAAATGTAAATTATGAAACCAAGAATTGATTACTAATTTCCCTTTTTAAGCATATATGTTATGTAATTACAATACTTTTTCATGTATGTAATAAATATACATTTTGTTGATGTTTTTGGTATGTTTCTGGACTATTTTTCAAAATAATTTTTGTTAAAATATTTGCGAAATATACATATTTCTTGGAATGTTATGAGTTTGAACTGAATGAGATGTAGGAAAATAATGTGACTACCTAGGACTATAAAATATCTGATATTGATATTTTCAATTTTTTGATTTTTTAATTATTTAATAAGCAATAGTGTAACATTTTTTAAAGTTCGCTTAAGGTATATTTACTGATTTATACCGCATGAAACAATAATCGTTGGATTTTATTAAATATTTAAGTGGTTCTGTTGTGGAAAAAAAGTTATTAAAATGTCCCTATTTTAAAATGTATCAAAGTTAACATTTATCATTACGTTTCCCGAAACGTTTGTACAAAATTTAACATTAGTCTAACCTTAGAATTATTTTTTTCTAAAAGAAAATAATCATGCGTTAAAGTAATAATTGGACAATGATTTTTCGCAAATAATCCTGTGCTTACATAAACAATAAATATTTTTATGCCGTCGTTAAAATAATTTATCCTTTTTTTCCTTGTTGTAATTCAGAGTTAGTCACTCTACTTTTCTCTAGTTGAAACTAGAAATTCATTGGTTAGATTTTATTTTCTTAATTTATTGATTAAAATATTATCTCTAAAACTTATTTCATTGTTAGGAGATAGTTGTTAACCTAGTGAAACATGAGAATTGCTTATTTTTGGAAAAACAATTTTAAAACTGAATGATATATGTATTTTTAACTTAAATTTTCAGAAAATAATATTAAATTTAACGTATTCAAATTTTATATGATTATCATAGACAATTAATCAAGAATATCTTTGAAACACTAACCCTTATCAACTCTATAAATTACTAGATACATTTGGTTTGGAGTTATGTTTTAGATATTAGCGAAATAAAACCATACGCTACCTGCACGTTAATGTTATAATACCTTAAATATTATTAATATTTCCTTCACGAGAAAAGCATTTAATTTTACAATTTTTAAAATGTAACATCGATTACGGAAGTTAGAATTCGTAGGGGAGCTTTTATGGCAAAAAATTCTAATTTTTAAAATCAGTTTTGTTTAAGCAAATATTCGGTCCAAGAATTGGGATCTTAATATTTAAAAAAATGCTTTGTTTTCCTTTTAAAAATAAAGTATTGAATTGACAATTCAGTTTACGCCGTTTCTTAAATTTTTTAAAAAAGGTTTAAAGTGTTGGACCGTTCTATTTCTCACCAGTGTTATTGTCGCTTGACGTATATTTTCGTTTGATATAAATAAAGCTCTTCATTAAACTCAACTAGACGGTCAGAACGAGAAGCATCTTTGAGGTCAAAATTTACGTCTCAAGATTGGTATACCTTTCAGCTATGGTACCCGTACACAGCCCAAATGTTTCGAGCAGCTTGCTTATGGGGCCTTAAAAACTTGTATAAAAACTAAAAGAAAGTGTTAAATGCTTATTTTTCTCAACTTTGCATTCGATTTTAATGATTTTAAAATCATCCCGAAAAAAACAACAACATAGATTTCGGACGAAAACATCCTCATTCTTATGAATGATTTCAAACATTATGACAAAACATTTAATGACCCACAAAATGTTTTTAAAACTTAAAAAAAGAAGGAAATTTTTTTTTCGCGAAATATCACTTTATTTTTTTACACGAAAGTGGTTTCATATGAAGGTGGTTGTACAAATAAAGTTTACATACGTAATTTTCGTTAGGATGTAAACTTAGATTCAATTGCGTACAGTATAAGTAATTTGAATCAGTGTTTCTGCGTTATTGTTTGACTGAAAAAAAGCTTTTCTAATACACAAAATAATTTTATTGTATACAACAATTATAGAACCAAACTTAGGAACTGAAATTTTATAATCAGAAAGTTAGATTTGGGGATAAAATGTCTTGTATTTTATTATTACCACGTTTATATAAACTTGTCTTCGTGTATGTCTGTCCGGGTGGAATTTTGTAATCGATTTTAAACTAACTTCCCGACTAGCTACAAACTTCAAATTTGGCACATAGTTCAGAATTGGATGACAATGTATGAAAATGAAAAGAAAAAAGACAAACAAAGTAAAATAAAATAAAAATTTAAAAAAAAAAATTATTTTCGAGATTGTCTTTTGTTGATTCCATTATTTCAAATTAGTATTACATATCAGGTGAAAAGATTTTCATTGTCGGAGTATTTTTATTGGCTGAAAAACCACGTGATAGGATCCAGTTTTTCCTCATTCATTTCCAGATTGTTTTGGCTGTCATCAGCATAAAACTAATGAAAGTTGTAAAGGTATTGTTTTTCTATAAAGATTTTTGTATCCCTAATTTAAAATTAAAGTTCTATTATTTTAGTAGTGGTCTTGTAGTAGTCTTGACTACTCTTGACTAAGAAAAATAATCTAAATAAANGAATTACAGTTTCCTATAATGGGAATAATCTTTCAGAAATGAGGCTGAATTAAATATTTTTGCAGAAAACTGCAGACAAATATCAGCCTTTTAAACATGATTACTTAAACATGACCATTTTACACTATTGTATGACTTTTTTGTTTATATAATCCTACTTTTTATGAAGTTATTAAAAATTCATTGTTTATTTATATGTTTAACATTGACATTTTACATTTCAACATGGCATTTTATATTACAACTATTTTTTTGAACACTATTTTTTATGAGTTCATCAAAACAAGCACTTTTATAGATTTAATTTTAGAGTATGAATAATTTATGCCAACGTATGATTGCTTTACCTAACGTTTATAAAACAAGCTAAAAAGCAGTCGGCATAAAATAATGTTTTTGTTCAATTTTTTTAACAAATAAATAGAAAATTACAGCAAAAAACTTAAAATTTTTAGTACAGTTTTATATGTTTGCAATTCAGTTAAGTAAAATTAAATGTATAACTGCCATTTTTATTACTATTTTCCCCCATGTGAATCATATCTATATTGAAATACCCTATTTGTTCTAAAGACTCAGAAGAAATAAGAAGTGTAAATATCTAACTTTGAGAAGAAGAAAAAAAAAATCATAAGAATAATATCGTTTAAAATTTCTAGAAATGAAAATCTTTGCTTGCATAGCCATCAAGTGTGATATCAATTTAAGATATTCTTTATTTCTATTATATAAAAATATTTTACGATCCTAAAATAACTTGAAGATTAGAAAGGATATTTATAGACATCTTAGATATTCTCAGTGCTTTCATCATTTTGTATCTTATTTCATGGTCACTTTACCTTAAAATAAACTTGTAATTAAAAAGAAAAAAAACAATCTATATATTGATTCCAAAGGACATTTTTAGTCTTATTTACTACTTAAACACTATAGATAGTATTGACGAGATTAATAGATAAGTTTATTTGTCAGATAAAGAGGAAATTCTGAAATGTATGATAAGATTAAAGAGAACTTCAGGGGGAAAAAATTACTGTATAATAACGACATTTCTTTTCCGTTTTTCTTTCTTTCTTCCTTTTTTTATTTTTAAAAAAACATGATTCTGGTAATAAAACTAAAATATACGGTATTTAAACCATTTATGTGGTGATTTTTCGGTCATATGATAACAATTTATGGGAAATTATGATTTTCAAAATTATAGGTTTAATTACCACACATTTAGTAAAAATACGAAACAAAATGCAAAGTATTATGAAAAAACTACCAAATTTTATACTGTTTACCAAATTTTATCTCATGTTATAAACTCATACCTTATAGTAACTTTAACCAAAATCATAACCAAATTACTGAGCTTTTTAACGTTACCATAGAGCCAGAAACAATGATGTAAATTTTACCATATACTATGATCATATAATTTTTTCAGAGTTGAAACACGTGGATAAAGAGTCCATCATAAAAGGACAATTCGATGTAAAAATATAAGTGTAAAATATTTTAATTAAAAATTTTTTCAGAAAATAACGGTATACATTTTTTGGGGGGTTTAGAGAGGCTGCAATGAATTTAATTTTTATATCAATTTGTAATTAACTGAGTTATTTATTTAGCTCATTTGTTTATTTATTTATTCAATATGTTATTTATTAAGGTTCAATTTGTGTAAAGCTAAGAAACTGAGTACAGAAAAAAAATCTACAAAGAATAATATTTTTACTTTGTCTAAATTATTTTGTTGACTATTGTTATTGAAAAAAGACTTATTTACTTTATCAGTAAGCATTTAAATTCGGATGATTTTTAAACAAATATTAAATTGTCTGACTGTTAATAGGTTTTGACTAGATGTTAGAGGGGAAGCCATTTATTTGATTTAATATTTTTTATTATCTAGTTCTGAAAATATTTTTCAAAACTTTTTTAGCGTTTTGGAAATTTATTTCAATTTTTTATATAAAAAATTTACATTAATTAATCACTGTTTTTAATCAATCACTTTTTTTAAAATTAAGCCCAAACAAAAATGGAAAATTATTTTTTTCTATGTAAATTATACACTTTCATATCGAAGAAAAATCAAAATTATATTTATTTTCCCAAGCTAAAAACAAGTTTGATTTCTAATTCATTCTTCATTCGATTCAAGTACTGTTTCACAACGGGACAAACATTTCCTGTAAAAGAAAAAGAAGCAGATTATGATACAGAATTCTTTTTATTCATATTTATTCAGACCTTAGTACAAGTAATTGCATAAACGGATAATTTATTTAGTAACTTAATTGATTGCATATCCAGTTCAGATAAAATGGTGTTTTTATGTTCTTTTTGTTTGTTTTTTCTTCAGACATAGTCGATGAACTAACTCGTTCTTGTTAGTAGGTAACAGATTCAGTGATCATAACACTATTATCTTTATGATTTTTAAGGAACTTTAAAAGAAAAAGAAACCCAAGAACCAAGTATAGGGAAAAAATACTCCGTCCTAGGTTACTTTTTGAGTGAAACTAACACAAACTTGTGCGGGTTAAACGGGTTCAAAGTAAAAAACCAATAAAATCTTTTA